TCCTTAGTTACTCAAACAGCCGGCATTTTGTTTTTGCCATCTAGCTCTGACAACTAGACAAAAAGCTACAAAAAAATTATTAATATTTTTCAAGTTCATAAAACAAAATAGCGGCCATTAATTTTTTTTGTAAAATCAATCATCTAAAATAAATTAAATATCCCTTACTTATAATACTTACTAAGTTTCTTTACTCAATGGTTAGCGTGTAAATAAATGTACATACAATACTAGGTGTACGGTCTCAGGCCCGCCAATTGAGCGGAATGAACAAAATAGTTAAAAATAATCTTTTATTTAAAAAAAATTTAAACTAAAAAAAAGGCTACACTATATAAACTTAAAAAAAATACTCATTCCAAAGTATCAAACGACGACCTTTTTTAAGTAAAGAGGTGTTGTCAAGGTATTTGCACTATTGGTAATCATCTCTGATGTCACGTTAGCAGCAGTCATGCTGTTCATGACGGTACAGTACAATAGCTTGTTCTACACGTATACAGTATACAAAGGGTTCAGATTTTGATTTTATGGTAGAAACAATAAGTCTAAGTGCACTGCACTAACACTGTCTAAAGTAAAAAATAACACCTCATCTTAATAATAGCCTTAAATACATTTTGAATTCCTATTTATATAAATCAATATTATTTTCTATGCTAATAAAAATATTTAATATACACAAGTTCAAATTTCCAGCATGAATCATGCCTCGAAACCAGTATCTATTTTCAGTAAATAGTAAAACAACGTTTTTCTAAATAGCCTATTTCTAGGTTTGGATAAAAATTGGCTTTACAGTTGGTAAGTTAGAACAGCTGATTAAAATGATTTTTGCTTTAGTTCCAGTTGAGATTAAATAAATAAAATCAGTAAGATAGTGTGCCTCAAATACATAGTGGTAGTTACCAAACGCCCTGTAATACTTTCTCTGTATTCTTTGATCAATGGTTTTCACCTGAGTGGTTTTTCCTTTGTGCTGTATTTGGGTCGTATATTAGTTTGCTAACAAGCATATGTCAAGATTCTTTGTTTACATCCACGTTGTTATCTCGTAACCATCATAGCAACTCATAAGGTTAATGCTAAACAAATTATGTTTGTTTTAAATCGTACAGACATTATAAAATTGAAATTTATTTGTTTAATAACATGAGCACTGTTTGTCAAAACAACCCTAAAAAGATTGGATTCAAAATGTTCAGCTGTTATTGAGTTAATTGATTACGTTAGTTGGCATAAGGTCCGATCAAAAAAAGCTTCCCTCGCTCCGTTCCGTTCTATACAATACAATGAACTAAGGAATGGACACAAATAACGGTTTTATATGTATATGTGTATAGTATGCTGTTGATGTCTTATTTACATTGATAGAATTTGTGCCCTATTAACAATAATAGTGGGTTTGCTTTTCTAACAAAAGGTAATTCCAGTTTTCTATTGTACTATTTTTGCTTACTGTGATATTTTGAGAATTAGTTGAAGAGTTAGCATCAAATAAATTGTATGTGAAATCAATATAAACCACCTTTTAGCGAATTTCCCATATAGGGAATAAGCTATTACCGTAGTACTCATGGTAAGACCTGGACCTGGGACCGATTTACTTTTTCGTTTTGAGATCCCTAGAGGCAAAAAACACCATCCGTTCTAATTCTTATATATATATACATATATATACATATATATATATATATTGGTAACATCTTATATATATGTGTGTGTCCGTTAGCACGATAACTTGAGCAAAAATGATCCTATTTCGATGAAATTTGGTATAAACGTGTAAACCTACATTATTCGAACGAGTTCATGAACCAGCATGATCGGACTATGGGAACGGGGGTTTATGGGGGGTTTTGGTTTTGGGGTAAAATTAGGTTTTCCCCATTTTTGACCCTAAAAACAAAAAAATTTACAATTTTTTTCCAAACCGTTTTGTAGAGCTTAAAAAAACAAATAATTTAGTATATTGCGTTATTATAAGTGTTATTATAAGCGTTATTATGCGCCTCATGGTTACAGAGAAAATTCAAAAAAATTGTAAATTTAAAATTCCCATGTTATTCTTAGGAGAATAAGTCAACTGTTGTACTATTTTGATCAAATTTGGAAAATACATTAACTTATTACTAAACTATTAACATTTTACAACAAAAAACACTTTTTTACCCTCTTTGTTGCAGCAAACCAAAGTACTCGTTAAACTAATCTATACTTATTTAATACGCAAGCAGGATTTTTGTGACAATTACTCCTCCGAAACTACTGAACCGATTGACATGTTTTTGGTGTCATTGGAAAGAGCTTAAACGTGAAGTTGTGCAGGAAACTTTCTTTTTAGGGAAATAATTAGAGAGTGAGGCCCTGGGGCCCTTTAAAGTTTCTTATTTCTCCATAAGATTAACATGGCAAACAAACATTGTAATGAAACTCCAGCTGTTGTCAGAAATTAAACGTGAGAAGAAGAACATATGTTAATTGTAAACAGTCAATAAGTTTGCTAATTTGACAGTTTGCTACAAACATTTACTGACTTGGTTGAAATGAAATATTTACTATTTGAATTTGGGTTGGCATAAATATTACAATGGGAAAAAGCGAGAGAGCCTGGATAAATTGATATACTAAATAGAAAACTGAATTAACACTGGGCTGCATTTCTTAGTAATCATTGAAATAGCCGATTTGCAAACTAAGGAAAACACCAAGGAGAAGGGAGAAGAAATAGAAATAATGGTTTTTTTAAAATTTATAATCGTTATTATTATGGACAACCTAATGCGGCTATGAGTAGGCTATTTGTAGAAAACACTAAAAAACAATATCAGTTTTTGAAAAATTATAAGATATTTACAAGAAATGTTGATTATATCGATCTGTAATGTACATCTTGAGTATTTACATAATCTTTGAGTCAAATCTTATTTTAAAGTCATGAGAAATCATAAGTATTATTCGCTTTAAAATAACACCTTTAATACTTAGCAATTGCTCGAATTCGAGCAACAGGGACACTGGCTTACTGTTTAAAAAGTTTCATGTAGCGAATTTCTGACAACAGCTGGAGTTTCATAACAATGTTTGTTTCCCATGTTAATCTTATGGAGAAATACGAAACTTTAAAGGGCCCCTGGGACTCACTCTCTAATTATTTCCCTAAAAAGATTATTTCCTGCACAACTTCACGTTAGGCTCTTTCCAATGACACAAAAACATGTCAATAGGTTTAGTAGTTTCGGAGGAGTATTTGTCACAAAATACCTGCTTGCGTATTAAATAAGTATAGATAAAAGACGTCGTGATAGAGAGCGACGAGTTCAGGTACAACCGTACCCACCTTGGCCACCTTAGGACTTAAGGTATGAAAGTTCCACTGCTTTTAACATCGGTTCAGATGACAATTTCTCAAACTTGGGCCCTTTAAATGAAATATCAAGCCAAAGTTGATTAAATTAACTTAATGGTGGCTTCTGTCCACCCGTGAATTCACGGGTAGAACCTCTTGTTCTATTTTAATAGGGAATAAATGTGACATTTTGAAGGAGGATTTTTAGTGTAAATCCAATCAGACAAATGGAAATTCGCTTAGTCTGCAGGTTTGCTGCGGCGGGGGTATATATATTTTCCTTTAGACTAATCCCATTACCATTACCTAATCCCCCCTAAATACCTATTTACTCAAATGATAGGGTTTTTTCAAATAAATACATTTGTATAGTCAAGTACCGTATGCAATTTAAAAATGAAATCATATAAGTACAGCATTTTTCTCTTTCATGCATCAGCCCCTTAATTCATACTCAGTAGCCTTATAAGTTAGCCTAGATTTAAAGGCAGATTTTTTCAAACAAAGAGGTCCTTGAATTTAACTTCTGAAAGCAAAGGCGGATATGTAGGACTATTTTACACAATAGAATTAAGGGACAAAGTTTTCTCTTTAGCGCCCTCTCAGTTGCGAGGCACAGGTACAGTGGCTAGTAAATAATAAACTAAAGGCTATATTTAAAAAAATACTACTCATTACTGTAGAAAATAAATGTTTCTGTGCCTCATAAGGCAACATACTCGTAGAAACATTATTAGGTCTTTATAATTTTGGTAACATGTTAGTTGCTGTACTCTGAAAACTCATACAGATTTAATTTGACTTCACTATTTTAATACCAAAACTTGTATATAGAATTAACATTTTCCTTAAATTTTAGGAGAATGCTTAATCTCTAAATGACATTTATTCGCTCTTCAGTACATAAAATACACACTTCATCACTATAGAAGGTTCCAGTAAAAGACTTGAAGATTAAGGTAATTAATTAATTATTGTAAAATTCATATTCATAGTTCCAACTAATTGCAAAAAACCACAGTATATTAAATAAGTATGAATATCTTTCAAGATAAAATTTAAGTTATAATCGCTAAGAATTATTTACAAAAGTTTGTTTAAACTGTTTATTGTACTATTAAAATTTTAATTCCCAATAATAACGCTTAAAATATGTAGCAATACTGTATTTTTCATTGTAAGCACAAACTTGTGTTATTTAGTAACTCTTAAATAGAAAATATATAGTCTACATCCATTCCAAAAGACCAAAAACTGACAGCATTTATTTGCAAGGTTCCTTACACAGTGTAACTTCAATACCAAATATTGTAGCAATAGCAAATGAAAAAAAAATAATGGCTACATACTGCATACAATTAATTTTTGTCCCCTTCGTTTAATTTTTTAAAGATTTTTCCAAAAAATATTTTATTAGAATAGCATTGTTTTACGGGTGTCATTCACCTAATGAAAATATGTTGAATGTTTCTGATAGGAGTATATAGTTTTCTTTATGATATTTTTTTGATTAGGACAATATTATTTTCAACAAGTCACGTTAACTGTTATTTTAGTTTGCAACAAATTGAATTAAACATTAATTTTCAAAAATGTGCAAGACAAATAGTTAAAATATAACACGTTTGAAAGAAACATGCTTAGTATTTACCGCAAATATTAAGTTGAATGCGAAAAGAAGATATTTGGTGATGTTCATCCCTATCTCCATGGCTTGGCTGTTGATTGTACCACGACCAGGTGTTAAAGAACACTAACTGCTGCAATAGCCACAGTTTGGCTTCAGGTTCTAGAATCTGATTGGCCCATCAGTTTCCAAGCAACCTTTGTACAACACAACAATAGAGTAACAGGTGATGTATGTTCTCTTAGTCATTGTTGGTTTAACGATTTTGATCAAGACTGAAAATTGTTTAAGTAAAATATATTTAACTGACTTCATTTGATAGTTTTAGTTTTGGTTTTGAATTCAAATGTTAATTCAAATTATATTTAAAACCCCACCATTTTAGACAGTGTTAAAATACCGTACTTGTTAAGGTCCAGTTTGTTTAATTGTTTCCAGATAGTTAAAGGCATGTTAGTAAAATGCTCCCGCTGCAGCAAACCTGCAGACTATGTGAATTTCCATTTAAGTACCTGATTTGAATTTAACTTAAATCTATTTAAATAACATTAGGTTTTGAGTGCTGTACCTAGGTTTGCTGCTACAGAAAGGGTATTTAAGCGTTTTTTTTTAAGTAAAATATTAATAGATTAGAATCAAATAAATAAATTTGCCAAGCTCGATCATAATATATCCATAAACAAGCAAACTACTTATTAGTTTACTACTTATTCTCCATAAAAATAACATGGGCATTTTAAATTATCAATTTTTTGAGTTTTCTCCTTAACTATAACAAATACAGTAAATACTGTAACAAAAAACACTTCAATATATTAATTATTTAGTTTTCAAGCTCTTAAAAGTAGTTTTGAAAGAAATTAGAAGTTTTATGTTTTGAGGGTCAAATATGAGAAAACCCAATTTTCACCCCATAAAACCGTGTTCCTATGGTCCAATCATACTGGTTCGCGAACTCATTAAAATTTATCCTGACCTAAGCTTTCAAGCCAAATTTAATAAAAATTGGATTACTAATCGATTATCACGTTCACAGACACATCTATCTCTATATTTAGTTACGTAAGGCGATTCTTTGCGTCAAAACTCTGGACGACTGGGAAGTCGTAGAATGACGGGATGGGGCTTGAATTAAAGGTCTATGTCCCGTGACGGCAGGAAAAATAGTGTAATTCCCAAAGTTTTTACACAAAATTAGATAAAATGAAAAAATGTTCTCCATGAGAATTGTATTAGTAGCCATTTACATAAGATTTTTATTTACTTCAATACAGCTGATTGTGATTTATCATAAAGCCAGTACACAATATTAACATTTGGATTACTTATTCGCCAGTTAATTCTGCAATAACGTACTGTATACTACAGGGTAATTAAAAAACACGGCCAGCGGCCTTTGAAGTGCAACGTTGCAAGTAGGGTTGTAACAGTTGTTTTGTTTGGAAGCAGCTAATGGTATTTGTGTATATACAAAAGATTGGTTACTGGACTATGAAAATATTGACTCCGCTTTAAATCTATATATCTATATAAATAAATTAGAGTTTTGTCCGTACATTGCTCAGAATCATAAATTTTTAGGTTATTTTTACGTTTTATACATTAAAGAAGCCGAAACAAGTCTCATCTAAATTTCTGTCTGTCTGTCTGTCTGTCTGTAACACTCAAGATGGCATTTTACGCAATCTTCTCCAGGAAAACGAGAGTACCTATCAAGATCCAATTTAATGTATTCACTGGATTGGCGAGAGTGTCTTTAGCCATTAAAATATGGCCTCAATACTTTGTAAATAAAATTACGGACGTTCAAAAATGCAGTTTTGTGCGATTTTTGTCAAGTTTTCGTCCAATTTTTTATATCAAATAACGAACAGCTGTTCGGATCAAGATTATTTTTTCTAGCTGTCACTGATATGTTTACAAATGTTGTTTACAAATACCGCAACCATTTCCGATCACGTTTTGAAGGCAAACCCCATCCAAGTGAGATTAAAAACGTTTTTCTTACATAAAGGATTTAATTAATCGCAAGTGGAATAATATAGTGTAACCGTAAATGAAATTAAATAACTAGGCATCATCCAGGTTAGGAACCAGAGATTATTTGTGTATAAAATTGTTCTTGAGTTTTGATAACCAGAAAGAAGACCTTGAATCAGGGTTGTATACGGCTGAGAAACTAAAATTTATTAATGATCGTCACCAACAACTTAGAAACAAGGTTTCCACTCATTGACGGCACTTCAATGGCGGTTGTGTAAAGTGTAAAGTAAAAAATCACAACTGCAGTGGGTGATTGTAACAGAGGTTTACGGATGATGCTAAACTCGCTTTTCCAATGTGTCATTTTCTGTTCCAACCATTGACTATATATATAGTCAATAGTTCCTACCATCGATCTCTATTATTACAACATAATAGAGATCGATGGTTCCTACTCACCGTGTGATGCAATCGCTGGACCATACAGCCGATAGGCCCATAGCCCATCTCTTGGGTACGTACGCTTACCCAATTATTTATAACAACCTTTTCGACGACGATCCTTGATACCGGTACTTTTCCCTATAATACACGGCCTACCTAGGTACTTAAGAAATAAAATTACAAACATCCAAAAACCCAACGTTGTGTGATTTTTGTCACATTTCCTTCTAATGTTAATAGATATACCAATCATTGTTTAGGGAATACGTAATCTATTAAATATCAGAAAGTTGTTGTATAAGGTTGTTAAAAAAACAGTTTTAAAAACCGGTCACAAAGTAATAATGGAACCTGTATTTAACTATTTCAAACTATGTCCATATGTTTAGTTGTAAACAAAGTAAATTGAGTTTGATCCAATGACTACAGATGGCACCACTGTTCCGAATCTTTGGCCCCTAACTGTTCTTAAAGTGATGCCCGTTTCTTAATATTCTGAGACGTATTTGCACATCTACGTGAAAATACCTTTAATTTTACACCTCAAACATTAAAATCCATCCAGCCGTTATCGAGTTATGTCATTTAATGTAATAATTTAGTAATGTAAAGAATGTTCGCCAAAGAAAGAGCTACAACTTTTGTATTAGAAATATTTCTATATAATTAACTGTTTAGCCATAAAATGCAATATTTAAAAAGTAAATTTGAAAATTCGTAAAAAAACATTACTTGTGATTTAAAAAGTTTTAAATTATCTATTTTAAAAAACTATTTCATTATTTTTGTTTAAAATTGGAATTTTCTAAAGAGTTTTATACCATTAATATAACTCTTCCTTTACATTTATATTTGCTGTGACTTTTTAAATGGTACACTGCTGGTGCTTTCGTCTTAAGACTACCATAATAATCCCATACTGAGTTCATTATGGTACAAGGATGGGATTTGGTATGTATGTTTTGTTTACCTACTTGAATAACATAACAAAAGCCCTGGAAAAAACACATATGCATTGGCAATTACCTTAGTAAATGGATATTAAAATTTGCCAAAGGATTAAGACATTAAATACACATGTTGTTTTTGTGTTTTTGACAGGGCGTTTTTAAAAGAATGCCGGGATTTCAAACGGTCGTTGCTCGGGGACTATTCAAGATAATTAAATGGTTTGGACGTCAAATTGAAGGGAAAAGAATAAAGTTTTTTTTCTCATTATTTGATACAATTCGGAATGATTTAATACAATTTAGATTTTCATCAATCTTATGAGTGTAAAATTGGCAGTGTCTGTATGCTTAGGGCGATCTGCGGGTTTATCTGATGTCTTAACTCAATCTTTTTTGGCACAACTACTCTATCTTTTATAGGTAACATCACCAAGTGACCAATTTAGGTTTGTTAAACTGAATACTTCGTCGGGCAATCAATTTTTTTCGGGCTTCTGATGCAGAATTGTGGGATTTCTTCTGCTATGTCATCGCTTGTTTTTAGCCGACCAGGTGAATGTCTTTTCAAAACACTTCGGTGCCACGAAACTCATTAAACCAGCTTTAAGTTTCTATATCATTAAGTAGATTTAAATTTAGTTTAATTTAGTAATTAATATAAACTATGCAAACCACAGATTGCAATCTGTGTCTTCTGTTGTGCCATAAACCGTCGTACTGGCGTCAAGCGTATGAGTCACAATAGCGGCCCAGTGTCCTACTACCACACACCTGTTTTGCGCATGCAAAGGCCAAAGTTTCCTCCCTTGCTACAAGAGAAATAAAACTTAGTTATTTTAGCTTCAATTTGACGTATAAAACGTTTAGTTACCTTGAATAGTACCCAAACAATTACATTTAAAATCCCTGCATAAAAAAAAATAAAAAAAAACACCCTTTAAATGCTTTAAATCAGTGGAAATAGGTTAATATTGTATTAGTCTAGGCATATTAGGAAAGTTAGCGGAAAGTTGAAGTACAGTCCTAATCATCAATTTTTTTAATGTTTTTTGGGTCGCTGAACACGAATATGAGGTTTGCTGACAGATGTTATGCCCAGAACATTGTTTATTTTGTGAAAAACCTAAAAATTTGGGCAATTTTTTAGGTTTTTGGGGTAAATTTCGATAATTATCAATTGTTGAATAGTTTTTCCTGAAACCAGCCTGAAACTCAGTAAGAATATCTTCGTCATTGGCCCATTGAACTAACCTATTATTTATTAAACATGAAAATATTTTACCGATGCAATCAATAAAAGATAGGCCTCTATAATTTGTAACTAAATTTAAATCACCTTTTTTGTGTAAAGGAAAAACAATAGATCGCTTAAAAGATTCCGGAACTTCTTCTTTTGAATATATGTTATTATATAGAGCAAGCAATATTTGAAGAAAGGGCAATGGAACAATTTTGTAAAATTCATACGGAATTCCGTCCAGACCGGGCGTGTAATATGTTGACACATTGATTTGTGTTCTTTAATATGTTTAATTTATGCCTGCCTTCTTTATTTATTCTAATAGAACTAACACATGTTTTATTATTATATTATGATTGTAAATAATGTCCAATAAATATACACATCTTTTTTGTCAAAGTCTTGTCTGTATTTAATATTTTTTACATTTGGTGCCGAAACCCGACTTTATCATGTCAATAAGGAGATCAGAGACGGAAAGACACCCTCCAGACAGATATACTCCAGCAATTGGGAATAACAACGACAAAACTGTTAATCCAAAGCCAAGTAAAGACCAACCATCAGTATCTGCCAAATCTAGTACTTCTTCTAGTAGACGAAGATTAATGGAAGTGGAGTTGAAGAAGCTAGAAGAAATGCAGAAATTGGAAAGAGCCCATGAGGAAAGAGAAATGGAGCGACAACGACAAGTTGAAGAAATGGAGCGGCAACGACGAATGGAAGCTAGAGAACTAGAGCGACAGAAGCAACTGCTGACGGCGAGAGCTGAGCTTGAGTCTGCTTCAGTGTGTGGCAGTCAACAGTCAAGCCGCCCTAGTAATCGATCTGAAACCAAGGTAGGACCCCTAACAGCACCAGATATCCATTGAATATTCAAAGTGGTTGAAATATGTCTAAAGATATCTAAATGTAATTAAATATATTTTTAAAATATCTTATCTAAGAAATCTATAAAATATCTTTTAAGATATTTAATAGATATTAAAAGTTTCACAGTAGATATTTATATAATGTTTAGATGCAATATCCTACAAATATTGTACATATATTCTGTACTAGATATCTACGAACAGATATCCTGTAAATATCAATCCTACATTGACGATTGGATATTGATTATAAAGACGATAAATGCTGATAAGTGCATTATTGTTTCATCTAGAATATTTAATATTACAGTTAGCCTTATTAAAACACAGGATCTAAAATCATCCAACAAATCAACAAACACTAATGAAACCAAAACTTAATTGTAGTTGTTATGTGGTTATTTTGGTAGATTAATTATATTATGTTGTCTCCGTTACACTAATCCGTGCTACGCGTTAAAAAATCAAATAATTTTAATCAGCCCAAAGTGGACAAAAAATTGCATTAGCGATGTTTACGAGAATGACTACACTTTTCCAAAGGGAGTGTTTCATTAAAGTCAAACTATTTCAGTCAGACAGAAGGAAAGAAATGTGCATTACACCACGTAATATATAATAACACAAGTCTTGCACGACCCAAAAGTTGTGAGAAACAAAAAAAAACTGTTAAGCCATTCCGTAAAAACATTATACAATTGACTTTGAATGTATGATTAAACACCTTTTTATAATCATAATGCACCTGCTTATAATAATAATAATGCAAATATTTTCTTTTTAATTAAAATTCTTCAACTTATTTGAGGAAATTATATGGGTTGATCAATTTAAGGGTAAATATTAATTAATCATATATAACCGGGTCGCCGGAAGACTGCCCCCCGGAAAACTACCCCCCCAAGCACGTTCCTACGTCATATTGACGTCAGAGACCGGGGGGGCAGTTTTCCAGTCACGGACACTTAAATTTAGTTGTCAAACAGTTCTAATCTAACCTAACCTAACCAACCAAACTTGCTGTAACATTTCGAAAATCAAAAATTGTTTTATATTCACCACATGCATTTTCTATTATCCAACGGAATTACTCGAATTAAAATTAAAATTACATAGCATGATTTGTCTAGGGGGGGGTAGTATTCCAGTCGCGGACACGGCTTCCATATTGGTTAGTTAGCAGATTTTTGTGGCGTCACGTTTCACCTGGGGGGGTAGTTTTCCGGGGGATAGTACTCCGCATCCCCATATAACCATTATAATAACATTACTAATGGTAATTAATTAATCTATATTCAGATATCAGTATTCTCTTCAACTCCCAGAAAAACAATTAATTTAACAACTTGATGCCTAAACAGAATCATAGTATCAAAAATATTTAAGTATTGCGACCATTGCAGCTGTTGGCTACTCTTTAACCGCTTGAAAACTGGTAATATCAACAATCACAGGTAGCTCAGAGGTAAGGTAAGAGGTTCATAAGATGAAGGTATCAGGTTCAAAACCTGTCCGGATATAAAAAATTTTGTCTAGTTTTTTCTTCAAAAAATTGTTTTTATGAACTATTTAATGAAAATATTAAACTGATAAATGTGCTTTTCAGTATAATCTTTATTATTTTGTGTTTTTATGTATTTATTATATATATTTTTTGTGATCTGTCAGCAGATATCCTTATAATATTCAGTTTTAGAAGTTCTTAAGATATTGTAAATCTAATATCTGTTGAAAGTAGAAATTAGTGACATTTAAACTTCTTCACAATATCTAACAAATATAAATATCTGGATATTGATCATCTATAGATATCTTAAATATCCAAGTTAAATGTTTATAAGATATACTATAGATAACTCTGTGCTGTCTGGGACTTAGCATAAATCTTGATGATGAGGAAGAACCGCAAAGCAAGGTTGAAAGGTGGTTGAATGAAAAAGAACCGACAGTTCTTAAGTCCTCATCAGCCATCATGACCTCAGCCGTGCAAAAGCTTGCGGATACCTTCCAAAAAGCTATACAGCCTGTTTCATTTCGTCAAAAACTTCCAAGCTTCAGTGGCAAGCCTGATGAATGGCCGATATTTTTTTCGGAGTATGAAAAAACTGCCTATCTTTTTAGTGAGGATGACAACCTCATAAGAGTAAGGAATTGCCTAGAGGGAGAAGCATTTAGAATGGTTAAGCCTCTTTTTGTCTCAAGTCAAAATCTTAAGTCAATTATCAAGACCTTACAGATGCGTTTTGGTAGACCAGAACTCATTTTGGAGTCAATGTTAAAAAAGACTTGTAGGCTACCTTCAGTCAAGGAAGACGACACTACAAGTCTTGTTGAGTTTTCGACAAATATTTTGAATTTTACTGCTACAGCAGAGTCATTACATCTAGAATATTATGTATTAAACCCTTACTTACTAAATGAATGTCTCAACAAACTTCCCTATAGTTTAAAATACAGGTGGGCTGAGCATGTAAGTAATAATGCTCTAAGCAGTCCCGACTTGAAGGAGTTTTCCACTTGGTTGGAAAAACAATGCTCAATCCTGAGTATTTACTTTCGTCCTACAGAAGAGAAACTCTGGCAGAAGAAAACTGACATAAAGCCGGTTTATACCAGTTCTACCGAAGACAAACAGTTTAACTGTATGTTTTGTCTCAACAGCCACGAAAGTGAACGATGTGGAGTTTTCAGGAAGGCAGATGTATCGCAGAGATGGAAAATGATTGTCGAAAAGAAACTATGTTTCTTCTGCTTTCGACATCACCAGCTCCAAAAATGTAAAGTAAAAAAGGTTTGTGGGATAAATGGGTGTAAGTTGTTTCACCATCGTCTTCTCCATACTGACAAAGTTGAGAGGTTTCCCAAACAGGACAGCGAACCGCAAAATAAAGAAATTATTAGCAGTCATGTTGTTAATAACCGTGTTCTACTAAGAGTATGTCCAGTGACATTATATGGCCCAAGTTGTCAGATTGACACTTACGCACTCTTAGATGACGGGTCAACAGTATCTTTGTTGGATTCAGCTACAGCCGATAAATTAGGCGTCAACGGTAGTTTTGAACCCCTCACGACATGCTGGTCCAATGCAACCCAACATTTCGACCCAACATCCATGACTGGGAAAGTTAAAATTAAAGGGCTATATGAGGACGAAGTATTTACATTAAACAATGTACGAACCCAGTCACCATTGGACTTACCAAAACAAATGGTGGATACTGTCAAACTAAAAAAGAAGTGGTCTCACTTACGGTCAATTGGTCAACCTTTGCCGTCAGGAAATTTGAAACCTACAATACTTATAGGTCAAGACAACTGTGACCTTATTCTAGCAAGGAAAATTATTGAAGGTCCTCCCAACTCTCCAGTCTTGTCTTGGAGTCGTTTAGGCTGGACATTGCACGGTAAATGTCATGAACACATTGGGCGAGTAGATAGTCAATTCACTCTAACGTCTTTTGAAAGTGAAAAACTTCATGATATTATCAAAGATTCTTTTGAAATCGAAAATTATGGCGTGTCCCTAGTAGAAGATGACAATGTGAAATCAGTTGAAGACGAAACAGCCCTCAAGATTTTAGAAGATACGACCAAAAAAGTAGGGGATAGGTATGAATCCGGCCTACTATGGAAGTCAGAAGACTTTAAATATCCACCGAGCTATGAAAATGCGCTGAAAAGGCTTAAGGGTATTGAAAGGAAGATGGCAAGAGACGAAAACTTTCATAACAAATACAAAGCCAAGATCACTGACTATGAAGAAAAAGGTTACATCAGAAAACTACGTGATGACGAAGCTACTGTTATAAATGACCGGACGTATTATCTGCCTCATTTTGGGGCAATAAATCCAAACAAACCTGACAAACTGAGGTTAGTATTTGACGCAGCTGCTAAAGCGAATGGTGTGTCATTCAATGATGGTTTGCTTAGTGGTCCTGACCTTTTGAACCCTCTGCCAGCAGTACTTCTCAAATTCAGATTAAGAAAATTTGCGATCGCAGGTGACATACAAGAAATGTTTCATCAAGTACGTATCAGAAAAGAAGATGTCGATTCGCAAAGGTTTCTATGGAGAGAAGATCCGAACAACGAACCAGATACCTATATCATGGAAGCAATGATATTTGGATCAACGTGTTCCCCGAGTACTGCCTTGTATGTAGTAAACAGCAACGCCAAGAGGTTTCTACAAATTTACCCAGAAGCAAGTAAAGCGATCCTCTGCAGTGAATACATGGACGATCTACTAGACTCTACTGATACAGAAGAAGAAGCTAGAATTAGAATACAACAGATAACAGAAATTCACAAGTCCGGAGGTTTTAAAATCTGTAACTGGTTGTCAAATTCAAAAGAAATTTTACTTGAAATACCGGAAGATTTGAAGACAAACTCTACAAAACAGCTGCAACCTGAAAGTCGTCTACCTACAGAACGTATCCTCGGAATGTGGTGGGATGCTGAAACTGACCACTTTTCATTTCACCGGAACGCCGAAAAGGTACAGTTAGTTGAAACAAGGTATCCGACCAAGCGTGAAGTTTTAAGAGGAGCTATGTCCATTTTCGATCCATTGGGATTAGTTGTACCTACTACTATAAAAGGGAGAATGCTTGTTCAGGACATTTGGCGAACAAACATAACGTGGGACGAAGTTCTTTCGATAGAACTTAGTAAAAAATGGCAAGACTGGCTACAAGAAGTAAAATGTCTGCAGAGCTTCACCATACCTCGATGCTATTTTAACGTCAAAACAATTTAAGAAGTTGAACTCCATACGTTTGTTGATGCTAGTGAAGAGGCCTATGCAGCAGTTTCATATCTACGCCATGGATGTGCCAGAGGTACTTACAAGACCATGCTTGTTATGGCACGTGCCAAAGTAGCACCACTCAAACAAACAACCATTCCCCGACTAGAACTCCAAGCAGCTGTTCTTGGATGCAGAATAGCTTGTAGCATCATAAAAGACATTGACTTATGACTATTTCAATGTCAATGTTCAATGTTTTTTTTATTTTTTTTTTATATTGACTTAACTATTTCTCGTCAGATATTTTGGTCAGATTCTGTAACAGTTTTGCACTGGCTGAAATCCGACCCTAGACAATTCAAACAGTATGTTTCCAATAGAATTGGAGAAATTCAAGATTTGTCTAAACCTGAAGAATGGAGATGGGTTCCACCAAAACAGAATCCGGCAGATGTTGCAACTAGAAGTAACAAAAAGTTTACATCAGCCATGCATTCTGAATGGATTCACGGACCCTCATTTCTAATGCGAGAATCTAGTGACTGGCCAATACAACCGGCCACACTACAAGTCAAGGATAACGAAGAAACAAAGAAGAAATTCGTCGGAGTTGTAAACAGTAATGAAAACCCTCCTCTTTTGACAGTTGAAAACTTTTCTTCTTGGGAAAAAGTGACACGTGTATTAGCATGGGTACACAGATTTGTTAGCATGCTAAGGTCCCATACTACCACCACCACCAAAAAGAAACTGAAAACGGTCAACGTAGATTTTGGAAATATACCAGAACTTCAACCAGAGGAAATTCAAAAAGCTGAAAAGGACTTGATATCAATGTCTCAAAAGGCAAGCTTCAATGAAGAAAAAAATTTACTGCTGAAGAACAAACCGCTACCAAAGTCCAGTAGAATATTCTCTTTAAATCCCTTCATTGATCAGTCTCTAATAAGAATGTCGAGTAGAATACATAGTTCACCAGAAATAAGCGAAGAACAAAAGCATCCTATCATTTTAGACGGCAAAAGTCATACAGCTAAACTAATCGTAAAAATGTTTCACGAGAAATGTTTCCATCAGGGCATCGAGACTGTTATCAATATGACTAGACAACAGTTCTGGATCTTAAACGTACGATCAGTCGCCAAGAAAGTCCAAAGGAGCTGCATGAGGTGTAGCATAGACAATGCCCAACCTTATCCTCCTCAGATGGCTGCACTACCACAGTTAAGGACCTCAAAAGTGCAACATCCATTCTTCTACACTGGAGTGGATTATTTCGGACCTATCGAAGTTACTGTTGGCCGCAGACATGAGAAAAGATATGGTGTCCTATTTACCTGTTTATCGACTCGAGCAATTCATATCGAAACGGCTCATTCTCTTAACACAGAGAGTTGTATAATGGCGATTCAACGATTCATCAGCCGAAGACCAGTTCCCTCAGAATTATATTCCGACAATGGCACAAACTTTGTAGCTGCAGATAGGGAACTTAGAAACGCTGTAAAGTCACTCAAACATGAAAAGATCCAAAAAGACGTGGTGAACTACAGGATAAAGTGGAATTTCATTTGCCCGCGAGCACCACATATGGGAGGCTGCTGGGAAAGACTTGTTAGGTCTGTAAAGACCGCATTAAGGAGTGTTATGCGCTGCCAGTACCCAAAAGACGAAGAGCTTCAGACATTCATGGTTCGCGTTGAATTTATAATAAATTCTCGCCCACTCACACATGTTTCTCTGGATCCCAATGACCCCGAACCAATCACACCAAACCATTTTCTAAGAGAAGCTTACAAAATCAACCTAAACAAAGACCAACTATGTAAACGACAATTAGCTCGTGTTAAATCACTCCTAGACGGCTTCTGGAAGAGATGGGTGCACGAGTACCTTCCATGCCTTTCAAGACGGTGCAAATGGCACAAGAAATTGGACCCACCAAAGATTGACGATCTTGCAATAATAATTGAGGAAAACTGCCCAAGAAATACATGGCCCCTTGGCCGAATCTCGGCTGTCTACCCAGGTCACGATGGCCAAGAACGAATAGTAGACATCACAACATCAAAAGGAACTTATCGCCGGCCTCTGACTAAAGTTGCAGTCCTTACCGTTGGAGGGGAAAAGATGTAATATGTTGACACATTGATTTGTGTTCTTTAATATGTTTAATTTATGCCTGCCTTCTTTATTTATTCTAATAGAACTAACACATGTTTTATTATTATATTATGATTGTAAATAATGTCCAATAAATATACACATCTTTTTTGTCAAAGTCTTGTCTGTCTTTAATATTTTTTACAGGGCGCTTTCCCCGTTTTTACTTTATTTAGGACTTCCAGCAATTCATACATCTCAAAATCCCGATCTAATCTATTGTCTAAAATTAAAGGTTCAGCATAATATATCTCTGCAGCTAAAAGCGGGGGGTTTAACAGAGTTTTAAAATAGTTATGCCATTCTACTGGAGATATATTTCCCACCCGCTTATCTGATTTGATTTTAAAACTGTTTATCGCATTCCAACACTTTTTGGGATCGGTCGCTCTTATCAGTGTGTCAACAAGGTTTTTTCGATAAGCCAATTTTTTACTAAAACACAATTGTTTATATCTTGTATTTTCTTTTAAATACTTGACTTTTATTTCTGACTGATTAAATTTCCTGAATAAATTTGATAATTTAAAAATCTTCTTACGGAGCCTACCACACTCAAAATCTAACCATGGCTGCTTAGAAAAATAATTTGAAAATTTATTAGAGGACGGTTTTAAATGGGCTGATTCTGTGATTAATCTGGTGATTTGATTTACATCTTCTTGAATGCAGTCCACAAATTGAAAATTAGAAAGCCTTTGACTAATCTTGTCACAATATGAATCATTATCTGTACTGGTCCAATTTAACTTTGGTAACAACGGAAGTATTTTTACATCTATATTATTAACGTCTGCCATCCCTGCGGCTGGTAAATATACATTAATTGTAATTTCTATCGGCAAATGGTCGGAGCCTGGAAAGCTTAAAACTTTAAAATCCTCTATCAAATGCAAGCAATCTATTGATGCCCCCACTAAATCAATTACTGAATTCCCGTTTTGCCCTAAAATGTGAAATCACCCGTACCATTTCACCCTCAGGATCACCCACTGAACGCACATTTATAAACCCAAAATTGTTAAACAGATCCAAAAGTCGCTTCCCTCTATTGTTTGTTATTATATCTTTGGACTGCCGGTACCTAATTATTGAACTTGTCGTTAAATTTAAATATATCTTCTGCAAAATACTGCTCTCTGCCTATACGTCCATTTAGGTATAATGACAAGTTTATTAAGATTGTTAGCATTTACAAAATTATCCAACATTGTGAAATCATTATCCCACGAATTATAGTTTAAATACAAAGGCAGAATCAGAACCTCATCCCTAGTACAGTAGCCCCCCTCTTAACCGACCTTGTATTAACCGATAATCGGATTATCCGCCTCACATCGTAAAATAATACAGTTTGTTTTAACCGACCTTGCTTTGAGAGCAGTTTGGCTTAACCGCCGCTTTCTAGGAATCCCGGCATTTCCGCTCCCACGCTGGGCGATGAGAACTGAACCATACGCTTATCTCCACAGGATATGACTAAGAATAAGTTATTTTGTATTGATCACAAAAAATATAACATAGGTATTGTCAGTTTGTCATCATGATTCGTAGCGTGAGCACATCCTGATCGGATTTGTTATCAGTGCGGCAAATTTATAACATCGTAAAGTGCGTTAGGTACGATTTTGAGAACTGATTATCTTATCGCTGGAGTAAACAAACAATGCAACTTGTAGGGATGGCAGGGAAGGGGGGTTAACAACTCCAAGGTCAAGATAGGTTTTGTGCCTCAAGCCTCCAGTGAGAGGCTATAAATAAACATTCTGTCTTTTAACAAAATGGTTGCTTGTATCTTTAGTTTCAACAATAGGTTTTGTACTTTATTACGATGGATTTGGAAAAGCTTTAATTAATACACAGTACTTAAGTTATTAAAATAGGAATTTTTATTGACTCTTGCCTAGTACTATAATGTATTCCACTGAAAGTAGGCCTATTTGACTTAACCGTGTTTTGTGTTTATTTGTGACTTTTCTATCAATACGAGAAAGGAGATAAAAGTAGTTTATTTTATAAATAATGCAAGTATGACTTCAAAATAATGATTATATAATTCCAAATGAATAGCACTTCATTATGCTATGATCTTAGGGATTCCCCGTTTTAACCAACCTTTTGAGTTATCCGACCTAGGTCCGGTCCCATTAGGGTCGGTTAAGAGGGGGTCTACTGTAGTCCCAACATTACTAATCTTGATAAGAGAAAATGAATCTATATTTACAAAAACTAAGCTTTCCTTAAGAGATGATTGGTTATTAATTAAATAGTAACGGACTGGACCGAAGACATTAACAGCCTTCTACGACTGAACCGAGGCCCTCCGACATTGGCCATATCAACCGGCTAAGAGAAGAAACCACCCTAGCGGCCTTGTCCGCTGTACGGAAGATCTGATCCCGCCAGCTAAGCTTGCTGTCTACCATGACCCCAAGATACTTGGCAGAACGAACGGTTTGAACCTCGACGGTTCCACCCTCAACGGCCCCTGATGGTGTCAATCAGTTTTTTTGTCAAAATCACGATCTCGGTTTTGTTCAAAGCAAGCGAGAGACCGTGGTCTGCCATCCATGCATTTATGGTACGCATAACTCGGTTTAGCTTTAGCTGAGCCAGCTCAACGCTGCGTGCAGCTATCAAAGCTACAACGTCGTCTGCGTACCCAAACAAAACAGTTTCCTCAGGCATTTCAGACCTCAGAAGGCTGTCTTATCCTTCAAAAACAAGCAATAAGAATAATTTTAAAGCTAAATTGGGATGATTCTGTTAAACACCTATTTACTGAATTAGAATTTTTGACTGTATATAGTCTATACATTTTTGAGCTTATTCTGTTTATAAAAAAAAATTTCATAGAATAGAAACGTTAGGTCAAAACCATAGTTATAATACTAGAAACATTAGAGTATTTGCTTATACAAGCCACAATCTTAAATTATATGAAAAGAACCCTTCCTACGCAGGTATTAGATTCTATAATGCTCTTTCGGTGGATTTGAAATCCACAGAAGATTTTAATGTTTTTAAGAAAATACTGAAAAGCTTAATGCTATCCAAACCGTTGTACTCTCTAGATGAGTTTTTTTTTATTAATGTAATGATATAAACTGATCTCTATGTCTATTTAATGTATATTGCAGTGAAATCATTAACATATAATGTTTTTGTATAATGTTGTAAGTTAGAAAAATTTTTAAATTGATGCTATTCTATGTACACATGTATGAAAAATGAATAAAGTTATTTTGAATCTTGAATCTTGTCATAAGCGACGTGTAATAGAAATGAAATTAGTTACCTGAAAAGAACAAGGCTTTCATTTACTTAGGAATGATACTTGAACATGTTAGAGGATTGTGTACAAACAGTCAATTAACAAAAACATAAATAACATATGATTTAACAATTTAGACATAAAGTAAAGAAGGAAAGGCAGAGTATAAAATATTACAACATTCTTCCCTCCTTAGGAATGAAAGTAGTCTTTCAAATAGACAGGAAGCTTCCGAGGTCTAATTTCTTCTTCTAATGGGCTCGTTGTTATTTTTTAAACTATTATCTCTACTATTGGATTCGGATAGTTGGACAGTAGGGCCAGAATCTTGTAAAATAGGAGCATCAGTAGTAGTTTTGTCAATCTCGTCCACATTTAGTAGGTCTTCCATCTAGATATCTGATATGGGCATATACGGGATTTCCTTCTAAGAGTGTCACTTCTTCTACTAAAGGGTCAAATTTTGAAGTCCGGTTGAATTTACGTAGAAGAACGGTGCCTGGTGTTAAAAGCCAAGATGGAGTTGATAGGCCATTAGGAGAACGTCTTGAAAAACCAAAAATTCTTTCATGAGGGGTGGTATTTGTAGCCGTACACAACAATGATCGAATAGAGTGAAGAGCATTCGGTAAGACTTCTTCCCATCTAGTAAAGGGGAAACCAAGATCTTTGAGAGCTAGTTGAACAGTTTTCCAAATAGTACCATTATAGCGTTCAACTTGTCCATTTCCTCTAGGATTGTATGCGGTGTCGTCCTGCTGGTTGCAATGCCCAAGGTCATGAGCCACGTTTTCAATTCTTGTGACATGAATCCAGGCCCTCTATCAGAATGAATGAACGATGGAGCACCGAAAACACCAAACAGTTGTTGAAGACATGAAATAACTGAAGATGATGAAGTATCACGACAAGGAAAAACAAACGGGAAACGTGAATATTCATCTATCACAGTCAGCATATACTTATTTTGAGAACGAGATGGAAGTGGTCCTTTAAAATCAATATTAAGCCGCTCAAAACGGGCTGAGGCTTTGATGAGAGTGCCATGGTGTTTATGGAATTTTGGCTTTACTTCAGCACAGGTATGACATGCAGATGTTATTCGACGCACGTCTTCTACGGAGTAAGGATTCTTGGTACGTATCCAGTGGCTAAGTCTTGAGACTCCAGGGTGACATAGTAACTTATGGAGAGAGATAAGTTTTGCATCAGTGGAAGTTACAGTAGATGATACAGAACTGACTCTAGATAGAGCATCAGCTGCATGATTGTCTTTTCCCGGACGATACACTATGTCATATGAATAGCACGATAAATTTAGTCTCCACCTTGTAATCTCCTTGTAATTCTTGATCTTACTCCCATGTTTTAAATCAAACATGAATGCAACCGATCGTTGGTCAGTGATGAGTCGAAAGTGTCTGCCTAACAAGAAGTGTTTCCAATGTCTCACAGCCTCAACTATGGCATAAGCCTCCTTTTCGACAGAGGAATGGTGTTTCTCTGAGTCTGACAGAGTTCGGGAGAAGAATGCTACCGGTCGATTTTGTTGACTAAGAGTGGCGGCTATCGTAGTATCTGAGGCATCTGTCTCCACGCAAAATGGAACTTCATTATCTATACAGTCCAGAGACGCTTTCTCTATATCAAGTTTGAGATTCTGGAACGATGAAAGTGCTTCTTCAGATAATGGAAAAGA